ATAGAATTTTATTTTTAGACAAGAAATACAAAAATAGGTATGTAAAGATGTTATTACAATATTCTGTATCAAACGGGAACATAGAAAGGTGAGTATTATGGACGAGTTGTAGGGATATGTACTGTGCTTTTGAGGCCACCCTGCTATGACTGGATAAATGGGGCTGGACTGTAATACATAATTAAATAAAATATAAAAGTAAACCTAAATGTAGTTTAGCAGTCTATGAAACTAATATGTGTAAGGCAAGAAAAAATAGCCAATTGCTAGGAGCCCTGCTCTCAACAATAAACTAAACTTTATTTTGCCTATTTGTAAATGGATAGATACGTCTACATTTGAGACATTCCAAAGGGATATTGCTCTTTCTCTGGAAATGGGCATGACTTATCTTGAACTGAAAGAATTTTTAAGTTTTTCTCTCCACCATGAGTTCATTGAATTTGACTCGAGTAACTCATAAACAAGCTATATACATGTACTTTGAACATCAGCAAGAAAACGTCTACAGATACTTGTTTCTAAAGTTAAGGTATTTTGAATCATGAGATCATGAAGTGATAAATGAAATATGAAATCATTGTTTAGAGGTTTCTTTTGAAATAAAGGAATAAACACTGAAATATATAAAACTTTGAATTATAATGTACTTTATAAAAATAATTTCATTAAGATACATTAATATTCAAGTAATTTAATAACATTTTGAATGTAACTCAGTGATGTGCAAAAAGGGCATCATCATTATAGGAATGGACAGAGTTTTTATAGTTGGAATGTTTTTTTATTGTGTATATATTGTCTAAATAAAAAAAAATTTGTTTTAGTAAACTCTGGTGATTGGATTTTGGACTATTTCACTAATCCCTAGTAAATATTGGTCAGTTTTTGTTTTAACAGACTTTGACCAGTCTATTTTGTCATGTTTAATTTTCTTTAAGTAGTTCATATTTTTAAGGTGTTTTTCATGAGTTTATGTTTTTACTTTTAATAGACTGAGCAGTTTTTTGTTTATCAGATTCTGACAGGTTTGTGTTCTTGCTTTGTACAAGAGCTGGTGGACTTGGTATTAACTTGACAGCAGCTGATACTGTTGTCATATTTGACTCAGATTGGAATCCTCAGAATGACCTTCAGGTAGAATGATTAATTGGTGTACTTTACAGACTATGTAAAGCTTTTAAACAATGTAAATAAAACGTTTTTACTTTCTGTTTTAAAACATTTGCTGTAAGTAAGTCATCAATTATTTGTATATTGTTAAAAAAACATTTTTTTTACTTTTCAAGTATAAACAACATTTTTTATTCTCAAAACTAAATAATCATCAGGATTTTCTTACACAGATGCTTTTAGTCAAATATTTCGGTGTACAAAATCAGTGAGGATTAACTACATGTAACAATCACAAAGTGTAATTTGTAAAAATAAAAAAAATGTTAATGATTAGAGTTTAAACAGTGAACTATTTCATAGTATACTAGACGTTTGCACAAATTTTTCTTGTAAAAAAAATATGGTATTTCCATCAGAATCCTTGTTTAAGCATTTAAAACCTAAAATAAAACATTTTGTTTTTTAACATGTTAAAACATCAGTGTAAGGTATTTTTGTGTGACATGGCTTGATTTCCTTCTGAAACTTTAAACTTCTACTTTCTCCAGGCTCAAGCCAGATGTCACAGGATAGGTCAGTCAAGAGCTGTTAAAGTATATCGACTCATCTGTAGAAATACATATGAAAGGGAGATGTTTGACAAAGCAAGTTTAAAATTGGGGTTGGATAGAGCAGTTCTACAGTCCATGAATTCTCAGAAAGAAGGTCCTAGTTTGGTGAGGGTCAATTAGTACAATGTGCTAATAGAATTTGATTTCTTTTCATATATTTTAGGAAATGATACCTTAAATTGAAATTTTTTATTTTTTGTAAATCACGGGCATAAAATATATTAAAAATAAGTTTCATTCTGCTTCAGGTTGTTATTATTGTTAATGAAATCCATTTGTCAGTTTTGTATCTCTGTTTTTGATATCTGTCAGACCACAATATTTTGCTAATTTCAAGTCTGTGTAAGCTTGTGGAATAAACTGTATCGTGATTTCTTTTCTTGAGTTAGGATACTTTAAAAAAGTTTATAAGCTATTTTAGAATTGGAAATAGTTTTAGAAGCTGAAGAAAAGTAATTTATTAAAATATAATGCTTCATAATACCAAAGAACAAATGATAATAGAACAATATATTTAATTTAATATTTTTATAGGGAGGGCAGATGACTAAAAAAGAGATTGAAGATTTGCTCAGGAAAGGAGCCTATGGGGCTCTGATGGATGATGATAATGCAGGAGACAAGTTCTGTGAAGAAGACATTGATCAAATCCTGGAACGCCGGACACGTACCATTACTATTGAGAGTGAAGGAAAAGGCTCAACTTTTGCTAAAGCAACATTTTCTGCTGGAAATATCAAAGATGATATTGCTTTGGATGATCCAGAATTTTGGGAAAAATGGGCCCAGAAAGCTAACATTGATGTAGATGAACTTAAAAATAAAGTAAGTACAATGAGAAAAATGAAAGTGACTCAGTAAGTGAATATTGAAATTGATGAGAGAAAGAGAAGGGTGGAAAAAACAAAACTTCCAGCTGTTTTAATGGTTGGATGGGGTTGGCCTTAGAATACCATCATTGATTTATGTTGACTTAAAAGTAAAACCCAACCAAAAAAAGAACTTCCATTTAAAAATAGTATAAAACAGTTTTATATATGTTGTTTCTAAAAGTTTTTTAAAATTAGTTATTTGTTTTAAGAATATTTAAGTGTTACCTGCACATTTAACTATTATTTTGTATTTAAAACAAAAAACTGTGTCAAATGAGTTAGGTTTTTCTTAACTAAACCTTTCTTTATGTGGAATTCATGAATTTTCTTGCTAATTTTACCTTTCTCTTTTTAGAATGAGCTTATTGTCAAAGAACCAAGACGACGCACTCAGACACGAAGGTTTGGAGCTGATGATCATATGTTAGATCTGTCTGATTTAGAATCCAGTGATGATGATGATGATGCAATATCTTCCCGTACCAGAGGAGGTCGTGGTCGCTCCCCTAGAGGAAGTATTTGTGGCAACAGAAACCGTGGACGAGGAGGTCGACGAGGAGGAGGTTTTGATAGAGAGCGTGAGGAAGACTTGTTGGAAGAGGTTGCTCCTGGTAATTGGACACGAGCAGAATGTTTTAAGGTTGAGAAGGGATTGCTTACTTTTGGGTAAGCCACAGAATACTTTAAATTCAGCTGATATAGTGTCACTTTTCAAGCTGTGTCAGTTGATTATTAAAGAATGGAACTGATGTACCTTGTTTTATATAATGTGAAACTTTTTATGGTACTGAAAAGCAATAAAACTGCATGAAAATAATTGTTAAATAAGAACAAAATTTGTTCAACAAAAAGTAATTTCAAAATGGTTTTCTTAATTTCACAACCTAAGGTGATATTGTTACTATACTTGCTACAGTCAAAAACATGCACTCACTGAAATGCTAGTGATTTAGAAATCAACCTGTCCACTGTTATAGAAACTATAGGTATTATATGAAGATGTGTCTTTGTGCAGAAAAATGAATACATACAAACCAAAAAACAATCTGTCTTGCAAAATATAATATGTATATATGTATTATTCTTATTTCGAATAAATGTTTATACTCATAGAGAGTGGGCTATGAGCCTGTAATAAGATATATTTCTGTTTTTGTTATTGCAAAGTTTAATATTTTAACTGTTTCTCAGAACATTTTGTTTAAAAAAAGCTATTTAGGAACAGTTTCCTTCCTCCTTTTTCAGACATTATTTGATCACACAAGCTTGTATGAACCCTTAATGACTTCTCGTATGACATGATACTCTCTTTATTTAGCTGGCCTGAGTGTGTGTTATTTTTTCCCAATTGCTACTTGTCTAACTTATAGCAAGGATAAGTTTCTTTATATATTTTTTGTCAAGGAGATTGATTATATTATTTGCAAGATTTTATAGTTAATGTTCCTGCATTCTCTCTTTTTTTTACTATCCAAAAAATAACTACAGTGTTATTTAAGAAAGTATTTCATTAATGTAATTTAAGAGTTTAGCACATTTACATTTTTAATTATCCTAATGCCCATCTTTTTTTTTGTAAACTAGTTTTTGTATATTGAAAGCTTTTTTGGTCATGCACCAATAAGTGACTGTTCTGCCTAATTTTTTACCTTGAGATTTATTGTAAATATTGAAATAATATCAAATGGGTTTTTGTATCTACTGTTTTGGTAGATTTGCTGACACATTATATATCTTTTTACAGCTGGGGTCGTTGGGAGGAATGTTTAGCATTAGGTCAGTTTAAGAGGAGTTTGACAATAAAAGATGTGGAAGATATATCAAGGACTGTTGTGAGTTGTTACAGAATTTATTTTTTTCAAGGAATATTCAGAAATCCTAATTGAATAATTACCTAAACATAAATCTTTTAATTCTAATATATAATCATACATTAGCAGAGATACTCACATGTGTATAGAATATAAATTTTAACTAAGACTATCAAAGATTTGATGCTAATTTTTCTTTATGGTGTAAAAATGCTCTTTGTATAATAATTAGATTAGATTATTTATATGGTATTTCTCAAATACGAACGTATAAATCAGGAAGCAAATGTCATAGTTTGATTATGTTTCATTATGTAATTTAAAAGTCTTTTTTTTTTTATTACTGCATAGGTCGTACTTCTATCATGCTAGTACATTACTAATAATGCTATAACTGTTAAGCTTTTTTTTACTCTTTAGTAGAGTAAAGGATACAGGTAGATCATATTTACTCAGAAGATAACCCTTCATAGTAAAAACCTAAATTTGAATATTCCACCATTGACCTTAACTCTTGCATCTCCTTTACATGCACTGTTTTTGGTACTTTAGCTTCTTTTCTGTCTCCAACACTACCGTGGGGATGAGAAAATCAAAGGGTTTATCTGGGATTTGATTACCCCTACAGAGGATGGTGAGACTAGGATTCACAAGAATCATTCTGGTAAGAATCCAGCTTGACTGGTGGTTTATAATGTAACTGAGGGGGAAAAAAAAGTCAGTGACTCCATGAAAATTTGTTTTTGTAAGCTCTTAAGTCTTCCTCCCCCTCCTCCAAAGTAACATACTAGATAAGAAAAAATATATTAGTAAAGAATTTTTGAAATTGAATTGTAAGGTCATTTGATTTAACTCTCTTTGTGATAAGTGCTGAATATGATAGACAAAGTTTAAATTTTTTGTGGGTAATGGTAGTGAACCCAATTTCTAATCTGGAAACTAATCAACATTATGGGAGGTAACTAATGATATAGACTGTCTATATTGCTTGAAGAGTTTATTGCAAATTTCTTATGTCTCATTTTTGTATTAGAAGTTCAGTTTTGAACAAACATGCTCTTCTGACACTATGTAATGTTTACCAGCAATATTTAAAGGTTTAGGAAATAAATATGCATATGCAGCCCAACTTTCAGTTGAGTTTTCAATTAGCAGTAATAAAGGTTGCTTGACATAACATTCCAATTCATTGCTTTTTACGTGTTTATTTTTCCTGCATTGCATTGGCATCAACTTCACATCTCCTGGTTTTCATTGGTTGTGATTAAAGAGTATCATTTATATACTACTAAAACTTTGAGATTGTTTGTTTGCTTGTCTGTAATTAAATACAGCCCAAACAGTGCACAATAGGGCCATATTTGTAATGAAATGACAATAGAAACAGAATAAAACAAGTTTTGTTAAAATCGGGCCACGGGTTAACGTGTTAGCCCCTTTTTTCGGGTCACTTTTATTAAGAAAATTAGGTACATTAGATGGCGCCACATATTAGTTTATATATCTATCTATTCGTTTTCCACCTGAAAATATCTTCTATACAACAATATATGCACAACCAAAATTAAATGATGAAATGAAAATGTGTTATAACTGCGCGTAGAAAGAACAACAATAAAATGGACCTACAATATTATTGACTATTTGCAAATAGTAAGTATAGAGACAAGGTAATAAAATAAAAATCAAGTCGAGAACAACAACAAAATTTTATAAATGAAAACCTTACGCCGAGCATTGGCTATTATATTATTTCCCTGTCAATGTTCCCATCTTCACTAAAAGACGTAAGATGACAAAAACAAGATCTTGAAGAATCTATCTATATACTACTAAAAACTCTGAGATTGTTTGTTTGTTTATTTTCTCAGTCAAAAAAATCATTCACACTACCGTTTGCGCTCTTTACAAAACTTCATTGGGTCATGGGTTACTTAGTTAGCGCCGTTTTTCGGGTCACTTTTATGAACATTTCTAGCATGAGTAATTTTACATCACACTACTGTTTGCGCTCTTTATGAAACTTCTTCATTCAAATCTATTTCACTGTCAATGTGAAAAATCTTCATTAAAAGGCATAAGATGACAAAACCTCTTCATAACCTCTGAATAGTGGGTGACCCAATGGGTCACAGGTTGTCTAGTGAGACTTATTACTATCAGTTTTGTTTATCTCTCCTCTCAAAAGAAATTCAAGTACTTTTTATAGCAGTAATAGTGTGCACATATTTCTGCTTGCAACCTTCGGATGCTTGTATTTTGGATGGATTGAAAAAGGATGTTAAGAAATGCTTTAAATCATTGTCTCAGAGTTTCAATTTATAGTCACCATCTCCTGAAAACCGGAAGAATTTTTGGAAATGGAATGTTTGATTCTTGACAACATTGTGGTTGCATTTGTACTAGCTTCAGCACAATGTACATGTCTTCAATTAACTGGTATCAGATGTCCTGAAGTTCTAAGAAATGAGCATCGGACTGCTTTGCTATGGTGGGATTGCCAAGAAAAGCATTTACACACCACTTATTAATCCTAATTTGGTTAGACATACTGTAAATACTGTTCAAATGCATATCATATTTTCACTTGTTTCAAGTTCATTGGTTTCTGTTTTTGTCTAAAGATTTTGCAGCTGTTTGTTATGTTTGCAGTGAGCTACAAGGTGAAAATAGCTTTCAGTATTCCTTGAAGCCATTATTTATTACAAGCTGTAGAGAATGAGCTTCACAGCTCAATTTTAAAAAATTATTTTTTAGCCTTTTTGTAGTTAGTATTCATGTTGGCAACAGTGTTGCGTGCACTGGGGAAAAAAGAGTTTTTCACTTATTGTTCAACCTTTGCAACACAAATAATCTCTGCTTTTCAACGAAAGCTGTTGTTTCAAGTGCCACAGAGCTCAAGTTCCATGAAGGAGACTAACTAAAGAAGTGTACAGTTCTAACAAATCAAATAATACTTTTCTTATGTAGATTAACCTGAATGAAGTTACTTTAAGGAATTGAACCACTTTTCTTGGCTTTTGTTAGATACATCTCATAAGCTTTACAATTTAACATGTAGATTTGTTCATTGTCAGCTTGATATACACTGTTAACTATTTTTATCAATAGGGATAAATAGCTCATAAATGTCACTGAGTTTGAAATGCAGAAATTCTAAATACATTATATCTTTGAAACATGAATTTGATTTTTTTGTGGTCAACTTATGATTTGTAATACAGTCAAAACCACTGAATAACCTAGTTGTTTACTACACTGATATACATGCAATGTTTAATGGCTGAACTGATAGTCATATTATATTAGTGTTGATACTTATACTATAAGTAAGCCTAGTGCCATATATGCTATGCCATTTTATTGAAGTAAATTGTATGTTCAGGTATTCTCTAAAATTTTAAAACTAATATGTAAAGATAGTTTTTTTCTCATTATTTTATACACAAAACTTATTTATGACTATGTTTAATAATATAACTAATGTGTTCATAAATGATGTAGTTACTTACCTTTGACTGATAGTAAAATACAATTCTGTTGTTTATTGATGGCATGGCTTTGAATTTGAGATAAAGAAATAAAGTTATTCCATACAAAAAATTAACTGCTAAGACAATTACTTCAGTAAAATAAGCAGGGGAAACTCAGTTAATCTATTACTTTTTTTGGCTTAAAAATAACGTTGCCATAACTAAATGACAGTAAAAACTTCCATTCCACCTACGGACACGTCCATTCAACTTTGAGGCATTATAACAACTTTTCAATTTGTGTATACCTACATAAGGAAGAAAGCACTACAGCAAATTTGTTGCAAGAACTTTAGAAACAAGAAAGTTATTTTTAAAAACATTTTGTGTGAATAGTTGAATTTTACAGTTCGTAACATTATCAACTTGAAAAAATAACTTTTTAAAACTATTCCAACTAAAAATAAAGCTTCAAAATTGTTGAAAATCTCTAGATTTCTGGCTTTGTTTCATCAACTGACACTTTTTTTTCTGCTGAACTTTAATGACTTCCATCATCTGAATAAAAATTCCAACAAGAGGCTAAAACTGACAATTGGGGCTAGAGTTTCTATATTTTTCTTATTTATTTTATTCAAAACAAATGTCAATAAAATTTAACATCAAACAAACATTTTTAAACATGCTCATTTCTGTTATGTTTTTTGAGATATATCATATATAATTTCAAAATTAGATGTTTACATTTTCTCTGGGTAATACCTGGAATACCCAGGCTGGAAAGGGTTAACTAAGTCTTCATTATGTGGCAGTGAAATATTGTAAAGTCTTTTTGGATTAAAGAGTAACATGCTATATTCATATAAAGTTTGGTTTTTAAAATTTAGAATATAAACTTTAAATACCTCATCATTTCTCAATTTTTTCACTTTATACAATTTTTAATTCAGTGCAGTTTCAAGATGTAGTAAACAAATTAAAGCTGTGAAGTTAACTTATGTTTTAGTTGGTTTACAATATTTAGATTTGCTGTTCAAGTCTGGTATATAATATTTTACTAAGAAGTGAGGTAGTTATGCATCTTGATTTGTATAAGCGTGAATTTATATACAATTATGCATTTAAAATATAATTTTCTATGGATTATATTTTTATGTAGAATCTTGATAATAACAAAAAGTAATTTATTTGTTTTAGCTGTTTGCTGCTGCTAAAGTAATGCACAGTGGTTTTTATGTTAATTTTGTTATGAAAGAGCAAAGATAAGTTTTTGTAAAATTCACTTTACTTATCCATATATGAATATATTATTGTGTACTAGATATAATGGAGATTAATATAATTTTTTTAGGTCTTTCAGCTCCTGTTCCCAGGGGTAGAAAAGGTCGAAAACTTAGGAAAGATGGAAGAGGTTCACCTAGTACACCAGATGATTCATGGGCAGATTGGGCTCGAAATGATAAATACAACCCTGACTTCCTGCTTAACGATATAGGTTACAGAAAGCACCTTCAACGACATGCAAACAAGTAGGATTACAGTTATTTTTTGTTGGAAAGCAAACCATTACCCTTTTTTCTTTAGGCATTGCTTATAATCACTCATCTTTTCTAATCTGTACACACTGAATAATTTCCTCTGATCAGTGGTCTAAGGATAACTTTTGACTAGAATTGTAGAATTCTACTTAACACATGTTCGAACATAATCTCAAAATCAAAGAAATGTGCATAAACTTGGCACTCTTAAACAGACTCAATAGGATTTTAAAGGAAAGAAATGATCTTATTTTTCTCACTAACTTAGGACACTGAATTTCATTATTGAAGCAGCTATATTATGGTCTGTATGTTACTGTTCTGACTTTTTGAATCTACAGAACTTTTAATCGTTAATAATATTTGCAGTAGAAACAAAATACTTCACACTTAATAAAATGATGTAGTTTAATAGTACAATTATAGACATGAAACTAAAACACAGTTTGCCTTTTCATGCAACATAGACAAAGAATTAAAGATAAACACAAAATCAAATTAAAAATATACATTAAATTTCTTAACTAACTCAGTTGAGTGAGTTGAAACTGATATGTCACGAGAGAGATAACACTCAGAATGACTAATAAAACATTCAAGTTAATGGTCAATGTATTGTGTTGACAAATAAGCATGAAACTTGTACGCAGAAATCAAATAAAAAAAACCCTTTAGTTTACTATTAATTGGGGGGTAAATTGTAATTAGTATGAATAAAAATGTGAATTTAGGCATAATGGTAACTTTTTGTAAATCTTGTTATTGAAATTTCACATATTTATTACTTTACTACACAGTGATGTCTTGCCATGCTAATATTGAGAGATCACTTTGATGGGTATTGGTGATCTCAGTGAGAATAAACTTTCATTGCTTCAGCTAAGTGTAGTTTGTACTCATGTATACATTTCTGTATTGATATTTTACCCTATTTTTACCCACATGAATTTGTATAAATCATACATGAAATTGTGACTAAGTGGTTATAAAATGAAACAAAGGGTTCTGTGTATACTTCAAAATGTTAATTGAAATAAATAATTGTCTCAACAAGGGCTCGGTCGACTTGACTGACTGAGTGACCTCTCTCTACTCATTTAAAGTCTATATCTTCGATACCGCTAGCTTTTAATATAGTATGTATATTTTCACAACATTTAGCAGATTTTCAGTAAACATAAGTCTTTCACATACAAAAAATCATATTTTTAGTGAAGTATTGTTGATAAATTAAAGAATATTTGTTTGTGAATATATTGAGTATTTGTTTTGACTAGTCTGTGTTTATCCTTAGTAGTTTTAAACTTGTAGCAGTATACATCTATTTATACGTAAATTTTATTGTTTTATTGCCCTTTGAACTATGTCTAACTACTATTCACACCATTACAAGTTGTAAATCACTTGGGGAATGTAGAGCTCATTTTACACTATCGATTTACATTACCCACAAGCCACTCATGTGCATGCCTCGTGAAACATTTTTAGTATATCATTAATTTTACCTAATCTAAAATTAACTAACCTAAAGAGATCCCGTTTTTTACATTTTAGTTACTTTTATAATAATAAATAAAGAATAAATGAAGAACAAAAAATAAAGTACTTACCTAATAGTAGTAAATGCATAAAATAATTTTTATTTGATTAAATAATGCACATGCAAAAAGCAGACAAATTCTCCCGACTATTACAATTTGTTGTGGCTTTGTAACTATGCAACAAGAGATGTTACAAATTCATCCATGCTAGTCGTGGGAACAAAGCTTGTACTAACAAAGAAATTGACAATTCTCTGTTCAGAAAACAACATAATACATCATTTGATAAATGAAAATCTTGGCCATCTATTGGCTATAGATAATATGTAATTATACTATCAACAAATCCTAAAAGAGAGGATGTGGCAGGAGGGGTCTGATTTTCTATTCGATAGCTCTGGAACCAAACAAAATTGAAGACTATAAAAATTATGGTTTGTCTGAGCAATAACGATTTTATAGAGTAATTTATGTTTAATTTTGTACTTTTTTAAAGGGTGGTGGAGAAAATAGGGAAGATGACTTGTTAAGAGAAAATGTCACGTGGGTTACACTAGGGGAAATTCAGGATTTCTTTTAATATTGCCTTTTAGAATTAAGAACTTAAAATTGTATACTATTAAAATATGGAGTATTAGCTATGATTTTATGCTTTACTAATTGGTATAACATAAACAAGAAGTAGTTTATTAAAATTTTGAATGTAATGAGCACTGTGAAGTGATCTACAACTATCGTTGTTTATTACCTATAGCGAAACATTCATGTTCAACACAGGCATCATTCAGAAGTTTTAATCCATTGGAATTATTCAGTTAAAGCAACTAATTGATAAAGTAATTGAACATTGGATTTTTGTACTTTTTTCCATATAATTTGAACATTTAACTCAAAAAGTCAGTTTGTTCTGTATGTTTCATAATTTAAAACATTTATTTTTTGGATCATTCATTTGATAGCAAATGGGGATATAAAAATACTGTTAGTATAACAAATGTGAAAAGAAAACAAATTCACTGAATGTCTTTTGTTTTTAAATAAGTTGTTTCAATGGGTATTTAGATCAAGGGCAACCTTCATATTTTTGTATCAGTAATAAGCGATATTTTTTTGTAGATTTGTAAAAGCAAGAACACTGTACACTACTGTAGCACATGGTTTTCATCATTCTTAGATATTAATTTTTATTATGTAGAGAGGATTAGAGATGTTACTAAAATTAATTAAGAGATTCATAAAATGTAGTCTTAGCCTTAGTGACTATTGAGAGTTATTTTATGAGCTGAGAAATTTGATATGAATGCCTTTTTTCCTCCATTGTTAGAGTTCTGTTGAGGGTGAGACTTCTGTACTACTTGAAGCATGAGGTGATTGGTGAGTTGTGGCAGCTTGTTGCAGCAGGATTTCCTTCCTGGTCAGTTAGTAATATTTATGTATTACATCTTAAAACCTTTCTTGTTTACTTTATTGTGAACAGGCTTTTATGTTGAAAATTTTTATACTGTAATATTTGGCTATGTTTAATGTCTAACACTTTTGTTTTACTAACTGCAAATTTTCTGTTTAATAATGATGGTGTAGTCAATAAAGGTACTTAAATGTGAAAATTTGTGTGTTTTAATAAGACAAAATTCAGAAGAAATAAAAAACAGTTTCACAGATTTCATTATAATGCTGTGGTCCTATTAATATAAGGTATTTGTATAATCTGGTGCTTGACCAATAAAATGTGGTGAAGTACCATAATTGTTGTACATTTTAGAATACAAAGGTTGCTTTGTTTAAGCTGATCAATGTGATATTTAAGAAATGTTCATATTATTTGGAGAAATTTTGATTTGTTAGTACAGAGCAGTTTTTCAAATAGCTGATACTTAAGATGATTAGAGCAAATTTGGCAGTGTTCAAAAAAGTAAATCAAAAAGTGATATTTATGTTTTTTATCTTCAATATTATATTTTCCAAGTTTCATTATTTCTCTTTAAAATGTGTATCTACTTTTACAGTGATATTCCAATTCCAACACCTTTTGCTGATGGAGAACCACCTGTCCCCTGGTGGGACAAGGAAGCAGATAAATCCTTGTTAATTGGTGTTTACAAGCATGGTAGGTTTGTCTTTATGATGCTCTGTTCACTTGAAACAAACACTAAGAATTTGACTCATTCTTAAAATGTTCAATGTTTATCATCTATGTAAATGTTTGTATTATGTTGTATAACTTCATTATGTGGAACAATGAAACTAGGAGTAGATACCGTATTTTTCGTAATATAAGACGTACCCTTGTTTTGAAGACAAGGTTTTGGGGGAAAAAAGCTACAGTCGCATTTGAAAG